AACCCCATCCCAGCTGAATGCTCTTTCCATCGTCCCTACAAGGCTTTAGATTGGCCCTGTCCACAGTCCTCTGCTCTAGCCACTGGACCAATCAACCCTTTATGAAGCCAGTAACGTCCAAGGCCTGGCAAGTGGCCTGCAGCACCATACCCAGCCCGCAGAGCAAAGGGAATCTTACGGTACCATTTCATTGTAAGTGGGGTTGCAGGTTTTCCGAGCCACTTTGGTTTTTCTCTTGGTGGTTTTTTGGGGGTCAGGCAAGAGATAGATCTTGACGTAAGGGTCGGGGTCATTCCCATCCTGGAGGGGCTGCTACAAGAGGGAGAGAACAAAACAAACCCCCAGTCACTTCTGCAGCAGCAGGACATGGAGGGAGCCTGTGCAGCAGCCACAGCTGCAGGTGGGATACAAGGAACCTACCAGGCCTCGGATGTGCATCACCATGATGAAGAGCTTGTTGTTTTTGTACGAGATGGAGAGTTTCACCTCCCCTCCCACCTTCCCGATGGGCCGAGACCAGGTGGCATCTGGAAAAAGACAGAGGACAGCACAGAACTGGGGGTGAGCTGTAGACACCCGCATTGGCCAGAAACCAGCATCTAGACTACGGGGGGTTTTTTCGAAAGGAGATATGCAAATTTGGTGATAATCTGCATATCTTCTGATCGCATTTTTGAAAGCAGGTCTTTTGAAAGGGAAAGTAGTGTGGGATGCGTTTTTTTCAGAAAAAAAACAAACCCTTTTTTGGAAAAAATTGTTCTTCCTAAAAAAAGGAGATTTACGTGGTTTTTCAAAAAAACCGCGTACAGACTACTTTCACTTTCAAAAAACGCGCTTTCGAAAAAGCAGTTGGAAGATATACAAATTAGCACCGAATTTGCATATCTCCTTTCGAAAAAGAAACATAGTCTAGATGTACCCAGAGGTGCGGCAGAATTCTAAGCATGTAAGACCTTCAGTGGAGTCCCCTGGGGAGACTGTTTTTCCCTTATAGACTCATAGACTTTCAGGTCAGAAGGGACCATTATGATCATCTAGTCCAGTGGTCCCCAACGTTTTGGGGCTGCCGGGAGCCTGGGGGCGGGGCCAGGACCAGGGCTGGCGTGGCGCCCCCGGGGGCAGGGTCAAGGCCGGCACTGGAGCCAGCAAGGGGGGGCGGGGCCAAGGCCGGGGCCAGCGCTGGGGGGCCCGGCACCAGCATGTGCTGCGACCCCGGGCAGGGGCCGCTCAGGCGCCGCATGCACAGGGCCGGCACCGGCATACGCCGTGATGGCGGGGCCGGGACCGGCCATGCGCCCGGGGCTGGCACCTGCCGCACGCCCAGGAGCGGGGCCAGCCCAGAGTGCTCCGCGGGCGCATGTAAAGGGCCCAGCGGGCGCCATGGCGCCCGCGGGCACCGGGTTGGGGACCACAGATCTAGTCTGACCCCCTGCACAGTGCAACCGCTTATGTAACCACTACTTTGATTCTCATTCTCCTGCACCATCAAGGGGGGGCAAGGATGGAATCTACCGCTCTGGTTTAGTACAGCACAACACTGATCCACTGCAAGGAAGTGTTACACCTTCATTTTGACACACCCAGTACTGGCCACTATGCCAGAGCAGATGGACCATCTACGATGTAGTGATACCTGCGGGCTTTGGAGCTGGATTGGTGCCTGCAGCCTTCTCATCCCGTGGGAGGGGGTAGAAGAACGTATACACAAGGTCACACTGCAAAGCAAGAAGAGCACACATCGGACTTGATATCACACAGTAGAGGTAACAGGCTCTCTTGTCTCCATCTGTAGGCATGCCCTGCACACTTCAAAGCAAGAGATGCCACTCCACATCAGTTATTCATACAGCACCTTCCACCCTCGAGAATCCCAAGCTAGAGGAACCACTCACCACTTTGATGGCATCCCTGATCTTTCAAACTGGAATTAAGATTTACAACCAGTGTTCCCAGTAAGCTGTGCGCTTGTGCAGCTCCTCAGGAGAGATTCAAATGCCGCTCAGCTGATTAGCAGAGCGCCCACAGCTAGGTTTTGTTTCTACTGGTGGTGCACACTCACACATGCTGTGATGCACATAAAATTATTCCACGCATGGATGGAAAAGATGAGGGGGAACGTTGCTCCCAGGACTGAAATCCATGTTCCTGTCCCCATTTTACAGATAAGGAAACTGAGGCGCAGAGCTATGACTTGCCCACTTCTCACTAACAGAGTCTGGAAAAAGGTCCAGGAATCCTGTTCCTTAGTCACTTGCTCTACTCACTAGATAACACTCCCTCCTAGAACTTATCCATAATGCTGTATGTTCCAGACCCCTTCTCCACCGTGGACTGAGAGGCACTGAGAAGAGAATCTTACCTCAGCCACCTCAGGTGCTGAGTGGATCAGATGCCAGATGTAGCCGTTCAGCTCATCTTTCCTCCTCTCGGCCATTGCCTCACCTCGCGACCGGCTGATCACAAACCTACTGGGGAAACTGACCAGTTGTGTGCGCAGGAGAGAGAGAGAGAGAGAGAGAGAGAGAGAGAGAGAGAGTAGAGTACAGTTAGCAAGTCTGCAGTTGAAGGCAGCAGAACGTCCTGCTGCCGTAATATTTCCCCTAAGCAAACTGCTCTCGCCAGAGACAGCAAGGGGAAGTCACATGAAGCATATTGCACCACAGTGGTGCTAAGTCAATTGTTTCTCAGCCACAGAATCTAGAGGAGTTTCCAGACCAGTCTGGACAGTTGCTGGCAGGGAAAAGTGGAGGATGGGTGGGCAGGGAATCCTGGCAGGACAGGCAGTCCCCAAAGCCAAGAATAGCTGGAGCCTGACAAGACGGTCACACACCAGGAGAATCAAGAAGGGCTCAGTCTGGACGGCTGTTCTCTGGAGCCAGCGAAAGCTATAGTGAGCTGAGTCAAGTTACATTGATGGGGGAAAGCCAGGACACAGCATGGGGGTGGGGAGTGACAGGGAGAGACTTGTCCTCATAGGTGCTGCCTGGAGGCAGGAAAACCAAGCGAGGCAGTCCTGTCCCCTCCCAGCATGCACCCTCCCAAACCAGCTGCTCATTAGCCAGCCCCTTTTCTCTGCAGGTGGGACAAGAAGCAGTGCTGA